CAAATGTTGATAACTTCATTATTACATGACTATTATGTAATTAGTTGCTAGATTGTGATGTCCACATATGAATGAAATTAGCTTCTTTGTTATTCATAGCATCCCAAAAATTTTGATAGATTCTTGAGCCACACAGTCTGACCTCCAAAACTGTATTTCAAATTTTTCCTATTGTATTTCATTCTCTCATAAACCTTCAATTAAGTTTCTAACCTTAATTCATAAGAAATCACTAAATTTAATTGGGTATAACATTTGTTCTATTGATGTTTTGGGAAATCTGAGACACAGTTTTAAAGATAACTGGTCAAGGAACAACATGTGTTAAAATCATGCATATAGGGGCACCTACCTAGGAGCTAAATTCATTTAAAACTACATTTTCATGGCAAAAATGTATATGTCACAACTGAATAAATAAGGATTTTCTACTTGAACCTCATTAACTTCAGTATAATTCACAAATGTACCATGTGGATATTTCAGGATTGGCCTTTAATCATAAATGAATTAGGATTTGACCAGTAAGAAAGCATTCCATTTCAGCAACTCTAAATATACATGTTACGATGTATAAAGAAAATGCACACACTTTGCATCAAAATTCAGATCTGGCGGGAGAAATTATATCATTGACCTTGATGTAAGTCAGTTGCTACTGATATGGTCACAACTCCGCCCACCTGGATAAACATCAACTATTAATGATCTCAGAAGTTTGATTAAACTTTGCATTTTCTTTTTTTCAATATGGATTTTATTAATTAAGTACATAAAACAATAAATTTTGTTTTTAACATTTTTCTAAAGTAAGTTATGTATGTGTACATAAAATGATCAGTTGGTCAGGCTAGAGGATTCTTTTGGGGGTTTCTAGAATTATAATTGTATACAATAAGAATATGGTGTGTCACACAAAGTAGAATTTTCTTATATCTATAGTTTGAAAATAAGATATTTTAATTTGTGTTTTCTTTTAAGAAGAATTCATTTATAAACATTCACCTCAAGAAAATCTGATATAATCAGCAACATTAAATGTTGTACAATTATATTTGTTTAATATTTGTACATTTATATTTTGATTCCCTCTATAGCTCCAAATAGTTTTTTGTTTCTTCTCCTTGCAGCTCCAATATAGAAATTTTTATTTGGAATTCATTATCATCTTTTTTCTATAAACTCCTAGTACACCTCTTTTTCATGACCGTTATTATTATAGCTGGTCAGTGGTCATGATTCTATTGATTAACCACAAAGTACTGCCCATATGTTCTTATCTTGTATCAGTCAGACAAGTGCATTTGTATATAAAACTAATTATCATCAAAACTCATGAACAGTGCAACGTATGTAAATATTTTTTCTTCTGTGGTTTTGGAATATTGAGAAGTAACAAAAACAGCTGAAAATGAAATTTTGATAAAATTTAGTTGCTTTTGTATAGCATTGTATAGTGCTACCTTAACCACGAAATCCCAAGAAAATTGGTATCCAATGAATAATAATGAATCCACAGTAGAATATTTGGTGAGCAGTCAAATCAGGAAGAGTGCATTCAGATCAACATCCTTATTTGGTGAGCAGCCAAATCAGGAAGAGTGCAATGAGATCAACATCCCTATTTGGTGAGCAGCCAAATTAGGAAGAGTGCATTGAGATCAACATCCCTATTTGGTGAGCAGCCAAATCAGGAAGAGTGCAATGAGATCAACATCCCTATTTGGTGAGCAGCCAAATCTGTAAGAGTGCATTGAGATCAACAACCCTATTTGGTGAGCAGCCAAATCAGGAAGAGTGCATTGAGATCAACATCCCTATTTGGTGAGCAGCCAAATCAGGAAGAGTGCACTGAGATCAACATCCCTTTAAGGAATGCAGAGACAAATTCCTTTATTTACAACATAACTTTTTATGAGCTCACCTGGCCCGAAGGGCCAAGTGAGCTTTTCTCATCACTTGGCGTCCGTAGTCCGGCGTCGTCCGTCGTCGGCTTTAACTTTTTACATTTTGAACGTCTTCTAGAGAACCACTGAATGGAATGAAACCAAACATGGCATGCATGTACCTTATGAGGTGCTGACCAAGTGTTGTTACTTTGTAGCCGATCCATCATCCAAGATGGCCGCCAGCGGGGGACTTAGTTTAACATAGGACCCTATGGGAAATGCATACAAATGACTTTTTTTAGAGAACCACTGTATGGAATGAAACCAAACATGGGATGAATGTTCCTTATGAGGTGCTGACCATGTGTTGTTACTTTGTAGCCGATCCATCATCCAAGGTGGCTGTCATCAGGGAACTTAGTTTAACTTAGGACCCTATGGGAAATACATACAAATGTCTTCTTTTAGAGAACCACTGAATGGAATGAAACCAAACATGGCATGAATGTTCCTTATGAGGTGCTGACCAAGTGTTGTTACTTTGTAGCCGATCCATCATCCAAGATGGCCGCCAGTGGGGGACTTAGTTTAACATAGGACCCTATGGGAAATACATAAAAATGTCTTCTTTTAGAGAACCACTGAATGGAATGGAACCAAACATGGCATGAATGTTCCTTATGAGATGCTGACCAAGTGTTGTTACTTTGCAGTCGGTCCATCATCCAAGATGGCCGCCAGCAGGGGACTTAGTTTAACATAGGACCCTATGGGAAATACATACAAATGTCTTCTATTAGAGAACCACTGAATGGAATGAAACCAAACATGGCATGAATGTTCCTTTTGAGGTTCTGACCAAGTGTTGTTACTTTGTAGCCGATCCATCATCCAAGATGGCCGCAAGCGGGGGACTTAGTTTAACATAGGACCCTATGGGAAATACATACAAATGTCTTCTTTTAGAGAACCACTGAATGGAATGAAACCAAACATGGCATGAATGTTCCTTATGAGATGCTGACCAAGTGTTGTTACTTTGTAGCCGATCCATCATCCAAGATGGCCTCCAGCGGGGGACTTAGTTAAACATAGGACCGTATGGGAAATACATAAAAATGACTTCTTTTAGAGAACGAATAAATGGAATGGAACCAAACATTGCATGAATGTTCCTTATGAGATGTTGACCAAGTGTTGTTACTTTGCAGTCGGTCCATCATCCAAGATGGCCGCCAGCAGGGGACTTAGTTTAACATAGGACCCTATAGGAAATACATACAAATGTCTTCTTTTAGAGAACCACTGAATGGAATGAAACAAAACATGGCATGAATGTTCCTTATAAGGTGCTGACCAAGTGTTGTAACTTTGCAGTCGGTCCATCATCCAGGATGGCCGACAGCGGGAGACTTAGTTTAACATTGGACCCTATGGGAAATACATACAAATGTCTTCTCTTAGAGAACCAGTGAATGGAATGAAACCAAACATGGCATGAATGTTCCTTATAAGGTGCTGACCAAGTGTTGTTACTTTGCAGCCGATCCATCATCCAAGATGGCTGCCAGTGGGTGACTTAGTTTAACATAGGACCCTACGGGAAATACATACAAAATGTCTTCTTTTAGAGAACCTCTGAATGGAATGGAACCAAACATGGCATGAATGTTCCTTATGAGGTGTTGACCAAGTGTTGTTTCTTTGCAGCCGATCCATCATCCAAGATGGCCGCCAGCGGGGGACTTAGTTTAACATAGGACCCTATGGGAAATACATACAAATGTCTTCTTTTAGAGAACCACTGAATGGAATGAAACCAAACATGGCATGAATGTTCCTAATGAGGTGCTGACCAAGTGTTATTACTTTGCAGTCAGTCCATCATCCAAGATGGCCGACAGCGGGGGACTTAGTTTAACATAGGACCCTATGGGAAATACATACAATTGTCTTCTTTTAGAGAACCAGTGAATGGAATGGAACCAAACATGGCATGAATGTTCCTTATTAGGTGCTGACCAAGTGTTGTTACTTTGCAGTCGATCCATCGTCCAAGATGGCCGCTAGGGGGGTGGGAGGTGGGGGGGGGGGGGGGTTTAGTTTAACATAGGACCCTATGGGAAATACATACAAATGTCTTCTTTTAGAGTACCACTGAATGGAATGAAACCAAACATGGCATAAATGTTCCTTATGAAGTGCTGACCAAGTGTGGCTACTTTGTTGCCGATTTACTGTTCAAGATGGCCACCAGGATATTTTATTAAATAACGGGACCAATATTAATCCAAATTTGGCCTCAATCATTATTTGGGTATCTGTTATGATTTTTATCTATCTTTACATGATTTCTAAAACCAAAGTAGAGTCAGGTGAGCGACACAGGCTCTTGAGAGCCTCTAGTTCTGCTTCTGATCAAAATCCCATTATATTATAGGAGTGCAGAGACAAATTCCTTTAGGGTGGAACACAATAACGGGGACATTTACTACTGGTCTTTGACACTTTGTTATGTAAGCTCTACAGCTAACTTAAATACACCAGGATGCCAGTTTTCTGTGTTTATTATTTAACATTGAATCTTTTAACCTCATTCAAAATTTTAAGATCCTATCTTGAATAGTTTTTGAACACTGGTGAGATTAGTGGTCCAAAAATGATCATTTTCAGACTTTATGCAGTTCCGCTTCAAACTTTATATTATTTTCGTCTTCAAAATCTTTTTAACTGTAAGTGTAATGATCATTCCTCATGATATCTTTTACAGATTATTAAATGGCGATTAAAATGATTCCAAAATTATGAAAATCAGAGCTAACTTAAAAATTTAACATGCAGAAATGTAAAAGTGGTGCTTCGTTATACATTTTTCAAATCAGTATTCTCCCCAGGCCGTTTTAGCCCTGCAGTATTCAGCGCTATTGCATTTCTTCAAGGACCACCACGAAAAAATATTTTGGGAACTCTGGTGAATAGTCTTCTGTCAACCTGTCAATCATTAGTATTTTCATATGTGAAATTTAGGTTATAGTGACCTCCTTTAAGTTTTGATATAATACTTTCTCAGAATTCTACATGCCAAATATAGTTGACCATTTTTTTTTGTAGTGTTGAACCTTTGCAAGATAACTCGCATGAAAAGGAAGAATTTAGTGAGATTAGAAAAATCAGAGATATTCTTCTCCAGAACAAGAGAAACTACAAAGAATTAAGTGATCTGCCAGTATTCAATGTATGTAATTAATCTTACTACATGTGTGAACATTATTATACAACTTTGACTTTTGATGAGGTTGATACAATGATTTATCCACCCCAGAGATATGACATTCACTGAGGCCAATAAATAATTGTTTTATTATATGACTTTTTATCCTTCTCCAATTTTACTTTTAAACTGCTCCTTGATTTTGTCTAGCCTTGTCGGAGTCAAAAATGAGACATAGATATGCTATTTCTAGCAGCAGAGGTGTCAGTGGCAGCGGTGTCAACAATGTATTAGTTTGTAATTAGGTCTAGTTTATGGTGAACCACTAGTACTAGGTCAATGATATTAGATATGCAGTTGTATTAGCATTGGCACATCTCATATCCATGGAAATTATTTGGCCCTGCCCCCTCAGTCATGGTCTATTGTCTTTGAAACTTTTGCTTAGTTTACATGTTTTAGTTTGTGATTAGGTCAGTTTTTGGGGAACCAATAGTGGTAGATCAATGATATTTGGTATTCAGTTGTATAAGCATTGGTATATCTCATTTCCTCTGCCCCCCTCAGTCATGGTCTATTAACTTTGAATTTTTTGCTTAGTTTACATGTATCAGTTTGTGATTAGGTCAGTTCAAGGGGAACTATTAGTGGTAGGCCAATGTTAATTGGAATGCAGTTGTATAAGCATTAGCATATATCATTTCCATTGAGAATATTTGGCCCTGCCCCCTCAGTCATGGTTTATTGACTTTGAAACTTTTGCTTAGTTTACATATTATGCATTAGTTTGTGATTAGATCAGTTTAAGATGAACCGCAAATGTTAAGTCAGTGATGTTTGGTATGCAAATTTATTGGCATTTGCAAGTCTCGTTTCCATGGAGATAATATAGCCCCACCCACTTACCATGGTTCATTGACTTTGAAACTTTTACATAGTTTACAAGTTAATGTTTGTGTTTAGGTTTGTTTAAAGGAAATGACTTATGATAAGTCAATGGTATTTGGTATACAGTTGTATTAGCACTGGCACATCTCATTTCCATAGAAATTGTTTAGCCATATACATGTACCTTCAGTCAAGGTTCATTGACTTTGAATATTTGCATAACTTACATGTCTAAGTATTGCTATTATAATTTCAACATTAGCATTATTAAAATAACAAAAAGGCGAGACATATCTCTGTGTTAACAGTTTATTATATTAAATATATCATCTGCTTTTGCAGTTGCTATTTTTCATAAGTTGAAATATTCAATAAATTTTACCAAAAAAATACCACTTTGTGAAATATACACCAAAAACAAGAAGAGAAAAAAATACACTGGAAAAAAAAAAAAAAAAGAGAAAACAGAAATTTACATGATGTCATAAACCTACGTCATTGACATTGAGCTGTTCCAAATCTTATATAAACCTCTCGTAATATTTCTTCTTACAATCTTAAGCTCTATCTTCATAAATGTTGACCAGAACTGTCAAAGAACTCCTTACAGGGATTATTGCCCTTAAAAGAACATTTTCAACAATATTTATTTTTTTATTGGTTTCATTCTATTATATACAAAACCACAATAGATAAAGGGAAACTTTAAATAGTTAAAATGATCAGCACAGGATCTACATATACAAGTCAACAGGGTTGAAATCATTAGTCAAATCCTTAAAGGAGTTATATGTATTGTAAAAATAAGAAGATGTGGTATGATTGCCAATGAGACAACTCTCCACAAGAGACCAAATGACACAGAAATCAACAACTTTAGGTCACCATACGGCCTTCAACAATGAGCAAAGCCCATACCGCATAGTCAGCTATAAAGGTATAGAACCACTAATTCAGGCCTGGTCGGAAAGAACATACAAGAAAGTAGTACATATTTTTAACAAAATAGTTCCTACGCATAGCTGTATCTTTGTCAATAGTGGGAATATTTGGGTAGTTTTAGTATCAAATGCAAGCTTGGGGACTTGGAATCACTGTAGAACCCTTGTTGAAAGTTTTATTTGAATAATAAAGAAGTATAGGAAATTTTAATAAGAGGGCTCATTTGGCCTGTTGTTCAGATCAAAAGTTCCTGTTTTTGTACTATCAAACTTCCGGGAACCAGTACGCTCTAATATGCAATTAAAGGTATGTTGAATTTTTCAGCACAAGTCAGAATAAGCTACAGTTTTGACATGAAATAACTGCCACTTTATTTGAACTTAAGACAAAGTAGCCATTTATGCTTGAAATTGCAGAATTTAACATAGAAAGCAATGGGGCTATGAATAAGTGGTTTTATACCTATTACTGACAGGCATGTGAAATTCTATTTTTAGAAATCATACACTTTTCAGTGAAAATTGGTCACATTTGTTGTCAGAAATCATGTTACATTATTTTTTTTATGTAAGAAATATGTTAGAGTCAAATTACAGCCCTCAAATTGCTACAATTAGGTATTTTAGCCTTTTTTGGCCATTTAGCATGCACACAGTTAAGATTTTACCTGAAATTAAAATTTTTGGATTATCTAACACTGAAACCAATGAAACTTGTATATTGTGACTAGTTTATAGTATAAATATTGTTTTTGGTCAAATTATCTAGTAAGTGTTCATGTTTTATTGTGTTTCTTGGTGAATTATTTATTTCAAGGAAAATTGGTGTATACTTATAAGGTATAGAACCACTAATTCAGGCCCGGTCGGAAAGAACATACAAGAAAGTAGTACATATTTTAAACAAAATAGTTCCTACGCATAGCTGTATCTTTGTCAATAGTGGGAATATTTGGGTAGTTTTAGTATCAAATGAAAGCTTGGGGACTTGGAATCACTGTAGAACCCTTGTTGAAAGTTTTATTTGAATAATAAAGAAGTAAATGAAATTTTAATAGGAGGGCTTATTTGGCCTGTTGTTCAGATCAAAAGTTCCTGTTTTTGTACTATCAAACTTCCGGGAACCAGTACGCTCTAATATGCAATTAAAGGTATGTTGATTTTTTCAGCACAAGTCAGCATAAGGTACAGGTTTGACATGAAATAACTGCCACTTTATTTGAACTAAAGACAAAATTGCCATTTATGCTTGAAATTGCAGAATTTAACATAGAAAGCAATGGGGCTATGAATTAGTGGTTTTATACCTATTACTGACAGGCATGTGAAATTCTATTTTTAGAAATCATACCCTTTACAGTGAAAATTGGTCACATTTGTTGTCAGAAATCATGTTACATTATTTTTTTATGTAACAATTATGTTAGTGTCAAATTACAGCCCTCAAATTGTTACAATAAGGTATTTTAGCCTTTTTTGGTTATTTAGCATGCACACAGTTAAGATTTTACCTGAAATTAAAATTTTTGGATTATCTAACACTGAAACCAATGAAACTTGTATATCATGAATAGTTTATATTATAAATATTGTTTTTGGTCAAATTATCTAGTGAGTGTTCATGTTTTATTGTGTTTCTTGGTGAATTATTTATTTCAAGGAAAATTGGTGTATACTTATATAGGAATTCAAAAATCTCACTTGAAATGCATTTTATAACCATTTTACCAAGTTGTCTAGCTTGGAGATACATAAATTGCTCTTGTTGATCCATGTTTATACATAAAAGTATGTTTTTTTTACCAAATCACTCTCCTTTTCCAACATGTAGAAAAAAGGGGGGACAAAATTATCAATTATATTTTATGTTTGGACCACTGTATTTATATTCAAGGGAGAATCTCTGATAAAAATAAGACATATAGGTAAGAACACTGTTATTTGAGTAGATATTAACAGATCAGAACTGGTAAAAATTGAAAAAGTGTCATATCTGTCACTATTAGTATCCATATGTAGTTTTCTTTGTTTAACACATAAGTTACTACCAGTCCAATTTGAGCTTGAATTCAGTGATATAGTGTTTGACAAAAGCTTTATGTGATTTTTATACGACCGCAAAAAAATTTTTGTGGTCGTATATTGGTATGACGTTGGCGTCGGCGTCGTCCGAAGACACATTGGTTTTCGCACTCTAACTTTAGTTTAAGTGAATGGATCTCTATGAAATTTTACCACAAGGTTCAATACCACAAAAGGAAGGTTGGGATTGATTTTGGGGGTCATGGTACCAACAGTAAAGGAGTTAGGGGCCAAAAAGGGGCCTAAAATAAGCATTTTTGTAACTTCCAGACATAACTTGTGTGTTAGTGAATGGATCTCTCTGACATTGTACCACAAGGTTCCATATCACAAAAGGAATGCTGGGATTGATTTTGGGGGTAATTGCCTCAAAATTTTAGGAATTAGGGGCCAAAAAAGGGGCAAAAAATAAGCATTTTTCTAGTTTCATGACAATAACTTGTGTGTAAGTATATGGATCTTTCTGAAATTGTACTACAAGGTTCCATATCGCAAAGGGAAAGCTGGAATTGAGTTTGGGGGTAATTGCCGAAACGTTTAGGAATTGGGGGGCCAAAAATAAGCATTTTTCTAGTTTCCAGACAATAACTAATGTTCAAGTGTATGGATCTCTCTGAAATTGTACTGCAAGGTACCATACCACAAAGGGAAGGCTGGGATTGATGATGGCGGTAATTGCCTCAATATTTTAGGAATTAGGGGCCAAAAAGGGGCAAAAAACAAGCATTTTTCTAGATCCAGGACAATAACTTGTGTGTAAGTGTATGGATCTTTCTGAAATTGTACTACAAGGTTCCATATCACAAAGGGAAAGCTGGGTTTGAGTTTGGGGGTAATTGCCCTAAATGTTTCGGAATTTGGGGCCAAAAAGGGGTAAAAAAACACATTTTTCTAGTTTCCAGACAATAACTTGTGTTCAAGTGTATGGATCTCTCTGAAATTGTACTGCAAGGTACCATACCACAAAGGGAAGGCTGGGATTGAGTTTGGGGGTGATGAATCATAAGGGGGTTCAAAAAATTTGGGGGGGGGGATTTTTTTATTTTTCCTTTTTTTTTCTTTTTTTCCTTTTTTTTTTCTTTTAAAATTTTCCATTTTAAGTTGGTTGTTTCTGATTTATATTTAAAAGCAAATAATAATGGTATGTTAGGAGATACACACCAAACAGGATTTGTAAATTATTATATAATAAGTATTGTGCAATAGCAAGAAATTTTCAATTGCACAGTATTGCACAATAGCAAGAAATCTTCAATTGCACAGTATTGCGCAATAGCAAGAAATCTTCAATTGCACAGTATTGCGCAATAGCAAGAAATATCCAATAGCACAATATTGTGCAATAGCAAGAAATTGTCAATTGTGCAGTATTGCGCAATAGCAAGAAATATTTAATTGCACAGTGTTGTGCAAAAGAAGATACTTCCTATAAATTGCTTATTTCTTGACCAATTTCAATGGGGTTTTATTCTTGAATTCTTGGGGTTCTTTAATATGCTGAATCTAACCATGTATTAAGTTTTTGGATTTTGGGCCCCATTTTTAAATTGGTCCACATTGAGGTCCAAAGGGTCCAAAATTAAACTTTGTTTGATTTCATAAAAAATTGAATTATTGGGGTTCTTTGATATGCCGAATCTAACCGTGTATTTAGATTCTTAATTTTTGGTACCGTTTTCAAATTGGTCTACATTAAGGTCCAAAGGGTCCAAAATTAAACTTAGTTTGATTTTAACAAAAATTGAATTCTTAGGGTTCTTTGATATGCTAAATCTAAACATGTATTTAGATTTTTGATTATGGGCCCAGTTTTCAAGTTGGTCCAAATCGAGGTCCAAAATTAAACTTTGTTTGATTTCAACAAAAATTGAATATATGGGGTTCTTTGATATGCTGAATCTAACCATGTATTTAGATTTTTGATTTTTGGGCCCCGTTATCAACTTTGTCCACATTGAGGTCAAAAGGGTCCAAAATTAAACTTTGTTTGATTTCATCAAAAATTGAATTCTTGGGGTTCTTTGATATGCTGAATCTAACCATGTATTTAGATTTTGGATATTGGACCATAATAGGTGAATGTCCAATTTAAATTTTTTAAGTTCTTAGACCACATTCATTCTGTGTCAGAAACCTATGCTGTGTCAAATATTTAATCACAATCCAAATGCAAAGCTGTATCAAGCTTGAATGTTGTGTCCATACTTGCCCCAACTGTTCAGGGTTCGACCTCTGTGGTCGTATCAAGCTGCGCCCTGCGGAGCATTTTATTCAATGCTAGAAATACATCATAGAAGGAAATTAAGTCAAGCAGAAGTCAATATAACAAGTTTGGTGCTGTTATAAAAGGCCCCAAAATAACGAATGTAAAACAATTTAAACAAGAAAAACTAACGGCCTAATTTATGTTCAAAATAATAACCGAAAAACAAATATGTTACACGGCAACAAATGACAACTACTGAATAACAGGCTCCTGACTTGGGACTCATCAGATGGATACAAATAGAAATATATTTAACAAAAACACAGAGTGGATGTGGACAGGTACTTGTACATACACACAACAGAAAGACACTAAGTACTGATCTGAGAGTACTCACAATTACTGACAGCTAGTTCAAAGCCAATAACAACTAATGAAAACAATCATGCATCTAAGACTAAAATATCAATCAGTACACATCCAACATACATTGGATTTAGTGTAATTATATATATAAAGACGTCATAAACAGTCAGAGAAAAACTTGACCTTGTGCAATGCCAAGATGCAGGTATCGACAGATTGTAGAGTCATGAAATGTGCATATTTGCCTTTAATTACCGATGCAATTTTTACACATTTTTGTCGAGCCTGCGACTTTTGTCGCAAAAGCAAGACATAGTGATCCTACATTCCGTCGTCGTTGGCAGCGGCGTCCACAAATATTCACTCTGTGGTTAAAGTTTTTAAAATTTTAATAACTTTCTTAAACTATCCTGCATTTCAACCAAACTTGGACAGAAGCTTGTTTATGATCATAAGATAATATCCAGAAGTAAATTTTGTAAAAAAAAAATCCTGTTTATCCGTATTTTACTCATAAATGGACTTAGTTTTTTTGCCAGTTAACATTACATTCACTCTGTGGTTAAAGTTTTTCAAATTTTAATAACTTTCTTAAACTATCCTAGATTTGTACCAAACATGGACAGAAGCTTGCTTATAATCATAAGATAGTATCCAGAAGAAAATTTTGTTAAAAAAAAAATCCTGTTTATCCGTATTTTACTCATATATGGACTTAGTTTTTCTGCCAGTTAACATAACATTCATTCTGTGGTTAAAGTTTTTCAAATTGTAATAACTTTCTTAAACTATCCTGGATTTGTACCACACTTGGACAGAAGCTTGTTTGTGATCATGAGATAGTATTCAAAAGTAAATTTTGTTAAAAAAAAAATCCTGTTTATCTGTATTTAACTTATAAAATGGACTTAGTTTTTCTGCCAGTTAACATTACATTCACTCTGTGGTTAAAGCTTTCAAAATTTTAATAACTTTCTTAAACTATCCTGGATTTGTACCAAACTTGGACAGAAGCTTTTTTATGATCAAAACTAGTATCTAGAAGAAAATTTTATAAAAATTTATTTCCTGTTTTTCCGTATATTACTTATAAATGGACTTAGTTTTATTCCAGTTAACATTACGTACAGTCTGCAGTTAAAGTTTTTAAAACATTTATTAGATTCATAAACCTTCTTGGATTTTTACCAAACTTGAACAGAACTTCTTACAATCAAAAGATAGTATCTAGAGGAAAATTTTTAATAATTTTTTCCCCATTTTTGTTGAGCCTGCGACTAACAGCAAAAGTAGGCGAGACACTGGGTTCCGCGGAACCCTTACGAATTTTTATGTTTTTATAGGAAACTATATTATGTAGTGACACTGAAACCAGTGAAATTGATCAGGAGAACAAGATTTACGAATAAGTCACCATAATGGAAATCTTCAGTTTACTCCTTTTAGGATTCATTGCCCTTCAATGAAGATTTTTACCCATTTTTATCTCGCCTGCTTATTCTAGACAAATGGATTACAATCCAGTGGTGGTGCTGACGGCGTATAAAGCTGTATAAAGAAAGAAGAGCTGGATGTTTCATACCTTGTATACAGATACCTTATATCATAAAGTTTCCGTCTGTCATATGTCCATTGTCCTTTTTTTGTCAAGTGAAATACTTACTTATTATGAGTAATAGGATAACTATTTTTGGTATACCGGTATATGGGTTCCTTGAAACGTCTACATGTCAGTCAGGAACAGTTCACCTGACCTTGACGTCAATTTCATGGTTCAGTGATCAATGGTCAAGTCTGAATCTCAGATACTATAATCAATAGGTCAACTATATTTGGTGTATGGAATGATTGTAAGGCGTACATGTCAGACTGGCAGGGTTCATCTGATCTTGACCTCAATTTCATGGTTCCTTGGACAATGTTTAGTTTTTTTGGTTTGGTCTATTTCTAAGATACTTTTAAGCAAAATGGCCACTATATTTGGACTATGGAATGATTTTAAGATGTACATTTCCATCTGGAAGGTTTTATCTGACCTTGACCTCAATTTCGTGGTTCATTGGACACTGTTTAGTTTCTGTGGTTTGGTCTATTTTCCAGATATTATAAGCAAAAGGTCAATTATATTTGGTGTATGGAATGATTGTAAGGTGTACTTGTCTGGCTGGCAGGGTTCATATGACCTTGACCTCATTTTCATGGTTCATTGGTCAATGATAAGTTTGAATAATTTTGTTGGTTTATCAGATGCTATAAGCAATTGGTCAACTATATTTGGTGTATGGAAAGATGTACATGCCTGTCTGGCATGGTTCATCTTTAAGTGATCTTATTTTGATAGAACATTGATAATGATAAGTTTATGTAATAGTAGTTGTAAAACCTTCATGTTACAAACTTTCAACATGAATACAATGATAAGTAAAACAGGTGAGACATTTCAGCGTGTGCACTCTTGTTTGAATTTATAGCTGTTATCTTTGAACAATATAATAGAGATAGAGAAACTTCATACACAAAAAATGATTAGAAAGAAAGATGTATACAGTCAAATAATTTTAAAAACATTGTCAACATCTTGTTGGAGCTACATGTATTACCATTTGAAGATATTTTTTTTTACCCATTTTTGTGTTTTTTTGGTGGAAAGACAGAGAGAAATTGTAAACAACAAAAATGATCAGAAAAATGCAATCTTTAAGTAAAACAAATATCTGAAATTGCCCTCCATGAACAATCTTTAGCCATATTTTCCATTTTGACTATAATCTTGAAAAAACATAATAGTCTAGATAATCAGAAATTTTAAACATTAAATTTAAACAAGGATTTTTTTTAATCTGGAATGATTTTGAATTCTGGAAAATTGATAAGAAATGTATGATGAAAACTAACCCAGTTTAAGAGGGTTAGCCATGGCTCAAAAAGGGGGGGGGGGGTAGTTAGTTCATCAAGTATTTTATTATTGATTTTCCAAAATTCAAAATTAATCCAGATTCAAATAATTCCTTGTTTTAAAATGATCAGCTGGACAAGATCTACAGATTTGTCAATATGACTGAAATCTTCTATCAACCCCTAATATTAGATTATTATTAAGATAAATTGCCCTTAAATGATGATTTGAACCCATGCACAATATCATGTGAGTTATATGAGGCTGTCTAGTTCTTACTATCTGTTTTTTTTTATTGCAGGAACCAGTTCAGAAGGATAGAGAGTTTGAAATCTGTTCAATAAGTTTAGAGACACTTTCTTCTTGTCCAGACATCTAATTGTTGATAGATTTTGAAGGTACAATGTATATATTACTTCTACAATGAACAGTCATGTAGATTTTAATACATATGCACAATAGGTTACAAGAGCGTGATTATTCATAATGCATTTTCCATAGGGTACCACTGGTGTTCCGTATTTTTTTCCTGTAAGACTACACAAAATAGGGAAAAACGGGTAGCAGTTCCTGTTACTAGAAATGCCAGTGTTGCATTAGAACCAAAAAAATATATATGGTCATGCGGCAAAAATTGACTTAAAATGCAGTTGAAAAAGATCGTCTATTTTTTTCGCTTAATGAAAAAGGCATATTTTTAATGGCTCCGACATGCAGACATGGAAGATATTTTCTATACTTTGTAAAATGTGAATATGATTTTCTGCATTTTTTAAACCTAACTGGATAAGCTTTGGATTAAATGTTATTCCAGTCCTGTATCACCCAATCAGAAACCGTATAGGATTCTATTCTGAGTACCATCTTGGGGTAAAAAACTTACCAGTAAAATGTAAACAAATAATTGCGCTCTTGTAACCAATAGACTATTTGCCAATTACTGATTTGATTCTGTTATCACACAGGTTGTTTCCCTTTTCCAATATTAGACTATTTCTAAAGTGGACAGAATGGGCTGTGAAAAGTTTGAATTGATGTATAGGTGTTTTACCTGTTATTAATGAAAAATTCTTATTGATATTAAAAGTTTTTGGTATGATTTGAAGAACTTTAATATTACACACCTTTTTCACAGATAATATGCCAATGAAAATTTTTGTCCTTCCTAAGGGAAATAACTTATACAAATGAGGACAATTACAAAATTGGCAAATAAGCTATTTAAAATAGATTCAGAATTGAAAACTCATCTGTAGACCCTTCAAATTCGTACAATAACCAGTAATTATTAGAATTTCCTGATCTGTATTGTGCACCTTCATACTGCTTCATAGTCAAATCTATTGGAATAAAAATATGTCACAGGAAAGTTCCGAGATAGCTATTGTTTTAATGTGAAGGTTGAAAGGGTTGTATCATACAACATGATAATCCCAAAAATTGACCAGGCATTATTATGTGTTTTGGCGTTACCTACTTTTTTACGACCCCTCCAGCGGAGAGGACATTGTCCTTCCCAAAATTAGTTTCTGTTCTCTAACTTTAGTTTGCCTCAAACAAATGTTGTGAAACTTATACACAATGCCTATTACCCCAAAACACTGATCAAGTTCGAATTAGAGTTATGCCCCTTTATAAATGGAAAAATTGCTGAATTTCCGTTTCTGATCTATAACTGTAGTTTGCTTCAACCAAATGTTATGAAACAAGTTCCAGATTGGTTTAGAGACCCCTTTATTACTGTTTTCTCTCTATTACTCATCTAACTGGGTAGATTTCATGTTCATTTTTAGGGCTGTTCAAGATTTAAACGCACGGGGATATGTGAGACACTTTTATTAGACCCCAACCACCTATAATATAAAATTTCCATTTAATTATAATGATTACAATATTCTAAAGAAATAAAACCACCAACAATTTATCAATTTTAATGCCACCGATCCCCCTCCGATGGGTTTAAATCTGGAACAGCCCTTATGGACTTGTTGGCTACATAGATTCGTGAAATTTATTAGTTTTTAGTCAGTTATTGAATATTTTGGGACATCAGAATTGTTTGGTAGTAATTATTCTATAAATAGAGTATAGATTTAATTTTCTAGGTTTCAAGATGAGTAATATTTTTAATACCCTTTCACCAATTTTTTTTAGATTTTCATTGTAATAGACATCAAATTTACATGTTTATTTCAAGTTTGATGTATTTTAAATTTACCAATTGAGAGTTATGCCCCTTGATAGAGTAGGAAAAGATAATTTTTGAGGTTTTATGACAAAAATTAGAATACTGCTGGAATTCAACACATGATCATTTATGCTTATTTGGTCATAAAATTCGTAAAGCTTAGCTAGTCAAATTTGTTTTTAAATGATTTTATTCCAAAAAAATATATTTTTTTTACAATGATTAATTTTAAACACATTATCTAGAGCACTTCATGTGGAAATATATATTACTTGATTTACTCTTTTTTTTGCAGAGCTGACTGAACTTCCAAGTAAAATTTTTCCTCATTCTACAGCTGTCAAAAATGGAAGGCATACTTAAAGATGTAAAATTAAAAATGCACAAGGTGAATGATACTTTACTAGAGAGTATTTTTAGCGAGTACAAAAGTAATGGAAAACTTGTGTCTGAGACAATTGTTTCTGTAGAACCATCGTGCAAGGAGGACATAAATCCCATGATTAGGAAACTCAAACTTTTACATAAAGGAGGTACAAGTTATAAAGAAATTCTGAAGGATTTGGAACAAATTTCAGACTTTGAAAAAAAGTTTTTAATTCATCAGTTTTATACTGAATGCACTGATATTGCAAAAATATCTTTTAGATCTTTTAGAGCGCAGTTAAAAAGTCATCTTGGTCATAATGCATATATTAAAAGTTTAGTACAAGAAAATGAAGATGAGGTTATGTATTATGAAAACGTGTGGAATGCCGATATTACTTTGTTCAGATATCCATTACATTTGGTGGTTGAATGCAATAACAGGCAAAAGGCAGATTTTCTGTTGAAAGAGAAAAATGTGGATATTAATTCCAGAGATGTCAAAGGTCAAACGCCATTGCATTGGCTTGTTCTTTATTCTGATTACTGTACACCAGACAGAAAGTATTCAGATATAAATATTTTGACAGATGAAGTGAGTCTTTATGAAAAAATAATAAAACAACAGGAAGAATATAGAAATGTTTTAGATAAAAGACATTCAGATATGCTTTTGTGGTGCGAGGAAAATGGCGCTAGCATTGTCACCAGAGATAAAAACGGTATCAGTCCTATTTTTTATGCTGCTTTAACTGGACAGAAATGGCTCGTTGAACGTTGGTTGGATGATCAATTTAACCTAGATTCGCTGACCAAAATTCTAACATGTGAGCTGTTTGCAGCCCAAAGATTTAAAGGTTTTAGAGATAATTTTGAAGATGGAGAAGAAAAGTTTGTAAGAGCTCTTGAAATGAGATCTGCTCATGCTTTAGAACTTCCTTTATTTAAGTCTGTCATTCCCTGGATTATAGAAGAACCCAAAAGTATTACAGATTTTAAAAGTCTTGTATCAGCCAACTCCAGAAAAAATCCTTTATTAGCCATTCTTTCCTGTAGAATAATGGAAAGAGTTATGGGCCCTATTTCATGCCAGTTCTTTATGGCTGCTTTAAAATTGGAAGAAGAATTATATCGGATTGAAGAAGAAAAGGATCAAGCTTTTGTAGATATGACAATGCAGTTAGTTTTTTATCGAAGACATATTATGATCGAGCATTTTGAAATAGGGCTTGATGGGATTTCTCTTGACCATTATATTAGATATTCAAGAGAAACAATTTTGGAAAGAAATATTGATAAAATGTCAAATGTAGATATTTTGAAATTTGTGAACCTCCTTTTGATTGAATTGCATTTTTTGTTAGAACACGAAAACAAGGGTAAGAATAACTGGTTAAAGAGGGAGAGTAACATTTACAATGTACATTATGAAGGTGAAGCCAATTTTGTTGGAGAGAAAGCTATTTTATTTCTTTCATACATTGTATCTAGAAGTTTAACAGATAAAGAGAAGCTTCAAGTACAAAATTTCCTCTTGGAAATCTCTTTTATCGGCAGAACTCTACCTTATGTAACTGAATGGTTGCAGCGAACCATCAAACAAACCTATAGTCATCTTCTGCGTTTGAACAATTATGTTTGTGATAGAAAACATGTTGAAGTCCATGGATTCAGATATGCTGCTTGGATTTTCATTCTAGAAAAACTAATTGAATATGGTGTCACTCCTGAGGATTTTAATGAGTTTTTCGATAAACACTCTGAAAAATTTTATGATGCTCCACTAAACATTCTTTGTAAATATTACAGAGATGTTCAAACAAGTGATTTAAATGATGAGTATGATGAGGTTAAAAAATACTTGAGCAGTGAACTGTTTCGAATGGTCAAATTGATAGTGGATGCTGGTGCACATGTGGACATGGCCAATTTTGATGATGTAACATCACTTCAACTTGCAAAAGGCACTACACTTGAACCTTTATTGTTGTCATATAGAAATCTGCAATGTCTTGCAGCAAGAGCTGTTGCAAAACATAAAATTCCATTTGAAAACATTCTTTCCAAAGGTCTGTGTGAATTTGTGAAAATGCATTTTTGGTAATGTGGTTTATTTTCATGAAGATTAAATTTCAAAAGCTCACCCTGTTTGTGAGGTTTTATTTTAGTGTTTTTCTTATACCTCACTGTTAATCTTCCTTAAAGATCAAATCAAAAGACGTAAATTATATAAGCTATTTTATTGTAATTGCAAACTTGGCCAAAATAATTCATTGCGAAAAAATGTCCCACTTTACGGTATTCAGCAAACCTATTGTTGCATTTGGAATTAAAATTCATGAAAATAAATGTTCTCTTCTGTTTTCAATGGTGCACCCTCTTTGAAGATATTTAAAACGTACTGATAAAGAACCATGTTCTTTTAGTAATCTGACAGGAACATTAGACAATATCATGCAATTACACCATTTGAGTGATACAGGCTCTATGGAGCCTGCCCTGCAGGTTTTAAAATCAATTCTCACTGTAGATATATGTACATATAAAAATAAGAAGATGTGGTATGATTGCCAATGAGACAACTCTCCACAAGAGACCAAATGACATAGAAATTTACAACTATAGGTCACTGTACGGCCTTCAACAATGAGCAAACCAATACCGCATACATGAAGTTAGCTATAAAAGGCCCGGAAATGACAAATGTAAAACAATTCAAACAAGAAATCTAACAGCCTGATTTATGTACAAAATAATGAACGAAAAACAAATATGATATACAGCAACAAACAACAACCACTAAATTACAGGCTCCTGACTTGGGACAGGCACTTACAGAATGTGGTGGGATTAAAATAGTTTGAAGGCACTAACCCTCCCCCTAACCTGGGACAGTGGTTTAACAGTACAACATAAGAACAAACCATAAAAATCTGTTGAAAAGGGCTGAACTCATCAGATCGATACAAAGCAGAAATACATCTTACAAAAACACAGACTGAACGTTGCTGGGTACTTATACATCCCCACAACAAAAAAGACATTAAGTACAGATCTGAGAGTACTCACAGTAAATGACAGCTAGTTCAAAGCCAATAACAACTAATAAAAAATCATGCATCTAAGACTAAAATATCAATCAGTACACATCCAACATCCAATGGATTTAGTGTAAAGACGTCATTAAAATCAGAGAAAAACATGACCTTGTGCAATGCCAAGATACAGGTATCAACAGATTGTAGATCAAGCCATGAATGTGCATACCTATATAAAAATAATATTTAGTTTGATTTTAATTTACTAAAAATCAATATTAATACCAATAAAACAATATTCAAAGATCTAATTACAGTGATGAATTGGTAACCTTTTACAATAAGTTTATTGAAAGGATCGATAAGTTTACCCTGATCGTATTTAAATTTCTGGGCTCGGCAAACAACATCTCCGTAAAAATTATAATGTGCTATCCCTTTTGAAATAAGTTTTCTACAGGTAGAGCCAAACTTCCAAATCAAATCATTGTATCTATGGAAGAATTTAGTAAATGTTTAAGTAATTTGTGGTAACGAAATCCCTGACTTAATAATTTACCAGTTATACATAGATGACATTCATTGAAATCCAAAACATCACAACAGACATAGGCATAGAGATTGAGTTGTGATATATAAACACCTTATGATGGTGCCAAAGGAACATCACTGTCCAAAAAAGGAAAAGTAACAATATGGAATGACAAGAGTGGACACACAGAAATGTCTCGCCTGTAATGTAATTCTAATTGAAGTTATGTTGAAAGTAAATGCTATCAGACATACATTATAAACTTTAAGCTGTAAATAATGAGATAATGTCGCTGCTGCTGATGCCTGTATGAACGCTAAAGCTGCTGCCAGGCCTGCTGAAGACAACTATCATAGTGTCTTCATACTACTAATTGTATAGGTTATTATCTGCTATATGAAGATATGCTGGATAACTGAGGTTAAGAGTGAAATAACTTAGTGATATACCATTGATATTGATTATTTTGACTAAAGATGGCAGTGAAGATTGAAAAAACTAACATTGACCTATGAACCATGAAAATAAGGTCAAGGTCATATGAACTCTGCCAGACAGACAGATACGCCTTACAATCATTCCATACACCAAATATAGTTGACCTATTGCTTATATTTTCTAAGAAACAAAGTTCAGCATTAAAACTTAACATTGACCAATGAGCCATGTAAAAGGGGTCAAGGTCATATGATACCTGGCCGACAGACAAACACCTTATGACCATTCCATACACCAAATATAGTTGACCTATTGCTTATAGTTGAACAAAAATAAACTAAAACACCAAATTTTAACACCGAGCAATGAACCGTGAAAATCAGGTCAAGGTCAGATAAAACCTGCGAGACAGACATGTACATCCTAAAATATTTCCATAGACCTATTGTATAGTTCACCTATTGCATATAGTATAAGAAAAAGGACCAAAACTAAAAAACATAACTTTGACCACTGAACCATGAAAATGAGGTCAAGGTCAGATGACACCTGCCAGTTGGACATGTACACCTTACAATCATTCCATAATCTAAATATAGTTGACCTTTTGCTGAAAGTATAAGAAAAATAGACCAAAAACAAAAACTTAACATTGAGCAATGAACCGTAAAAATGAGGTCAAGGTCAAATAAAACATGCCAGACTGACATGTACATCGTAAAATATTTTCATACACCAAATATAGTTGATTTATTTTATACAGTATAAGAAAAACAGACCAAAACACAAAAACTTAACTTTAACCAATGAACCATGAAAATGAAGTCAAGATCAGATGACACCTGCCAGTTGGACATGTACACCTTACAATCATTCCATATGTGGTAGTGTGTTAATTTGGATATTTTTAATTTTGTATTATACTTTGATATTGTGATACTATATATTTGATGAGTGTAATATTTTTAATTCTAAGTATTTAGTGAGTTAGTTTCTAGTCATGCTCCACTGGTTATGTTCATTGTATGATTTTTACATGGCTCAGTGAGTTTTGATATATTGGTTATTTGTTTACTCTCTGGGTTTTACTAGTTTGTATTGTGAAACTTTTTCTTCTTTGTGATAATTGGCTAATTTAGTCATATGGTCATTTTGGAGGGAAATTCTATTGTTAGGTCAGAATTTACTCATACTTTGAATTGTATAGTTGTGTGTTGTTTGCTTTGATATATTTATATTTGTGGACATCTTTGATTCCATTATCAGGTCAGTTTTCTCTATTCATACTAAAATACTGATATGAATAGATTGTATAGATGATTTGGTATGAATGGTCAGAATGAATGATTTCAGAGTAAAAGGTGTATAAAATAGATTAAAACATATAAAAGTATATTAAATATTGTTTAAATCAGTTTAACTAAATTGACACAGTCAAACAAATCATTTTGTAAGTATTTAAGCCATAAACAGTAAAATTATATGAATTACTCAGTTTAGTGAAAAGAAGTAATAGTAAAGATATAAAATAGTAATTTGTATGTTAAGACATATTTTAAACTATTAAATGATTTGATAATTTGATACGTAAACTATAAACACAAATAGTTATGATAATATTTTTATTACAGATATTTGAACCATACTGTTCGTATATCATGTAGAAGATTCCATATTGTAAATACAGGACCTATGTACCTCATACATGGTAGGTTGTGTATTCTGTTTATATGTGTGTTTTTGTGCTTAACATTTGTCTTGAGCATGGCTATAATATTTGTTTTAATAAGCTTATTGTGTTATGTTACTGTACGCTTTGCTTTATGTGTACTAATTCAATGTTGTTAGTAATTTGAATGGAATGACCCATAAATGACTATCAGAAGAATATTTGGTAGAATACCAATATGTTAAATGTTAAGATGTGTAATTTATGATGAGAACAATATTTCTCATGATTAACATTCTATGTAAATAGATTTGTAAGTAAATAACATGGAAAACCATAGTTGTCCAGTAGGAAGTATTTGAGTATTGTATTTTAGGTATTGTCACCTAGAATGAATAGAGTTATCTTTCTTTGTATTTATTATTTGTATTTGTATTGCAGGGTCATTTCTTATATTACACAATAAAACGAATCCATTGATCCTGAGGTGTTTATTTTATTATACGACCAAAACAACCTGGTTACAGATGGCGCCCAACGACTTATTGTGTGGAGAATTCGAATTTCAATTGTAATTATTTTCATTTGTGGATTGCGTAACTACTACACAGCTGTTCGTAACTTCCGGTTCAACATCTGGTGAAGGAAACGTGAATTGGATTGAGACATTTTTTTTTGGAAAAAAAACCCAGCTAACTGTAGGTGTTTATCATCATTATTTGTATGTTATATGTATGTTTGTACGTCTTGTGTTTGTGTTTGTACATGATGTTGACATTGTCATAGAAATTTATTGAAGATTTGGTTTAGAAATTGAAAATTTTCATGGTATAAACAAATGCAGAATTTGATTATTTGCTATGGATAGAGATTTGACAGAACAGTTGTAATATAATAACATGAAATAGGCTTTGTCATTTGAAGTAAACATATAGTATTATACCACAGAGACAATCGTGTATTGATATTGGTATTGAATATTATAAATGTTATTTTGAGTTGTTGAACTTAAAATTTTTTTTTTTCGTAAATACATAGACCCCCTCCCCCACACATCTGTTTTGAGGTCAAGGTCAACCGGAAGTACTATATAGACACACCCACACATAATGTAAATAAACATTGAACATTTTATAGGATGAATACTAGGTAGTATTCGGAAAGATTGATTGATTTAGAAACACATACATAGACATTCATAGTTGTTAATAGTTAATTACATACACTTTTATTTTATAAAAAAAAAAAAAAGAAAAAAAGATTTAGACATACACATTTCATTGATTTAACGAGTGATAATACTGTTCGAGATCAAACTTTACTACATTCAATTTTGATTAATTGATACAGACACACAAAATATTTTGAACTTTTCCATTTTTCACACGTCCATATACATTTAAATGTGTTGTTTATTTTGTGTTGTATGTGTAGAGTAACTGTGTACTGTCATTTGTGTTGTATAT